AGCCACGCCCTGTAAATGATGAGTCAATCTTAGTTATGGGAAAGTCTAAGCTTACATTCCAACTCAAAGTCGACGCTCCTACAGTACGCCGCTCTTACATTACGACCGACCTGCGGAATGCATAATCTTGACCTCTGTTTCGGTTTTTTCGTGATATAGTTTGAACCACAAGAATGTTTCATTTTTACTTTTATCTTAATTTGTTAAGTTAGGTGCTTGTTTATATGTTTTTCTTCCTTACATTCGTGTATCACAGGGAATTGAAATTAGTAAAAGTAGCAATAGTATTTTTCTAGAAACCGAAATAGTTAGCTTATCATCATAAATGCAACAGCTCTGTCAATATCATCCACTAATCTCATCTTGTTTTAGGGATTCAACATTCTTATACCGGTCATTGATCGAATACGATTTGTTCAAAGCCTTCGAGAAATCGCCATAGAAATCCCTCAACAAGGTGCGATCACTCTAGACAACGTGCAGTTGCAACTGGATGGAGTGCTATACTTGCGAGTTATCAACCCTTACAAAGTAAGTATAGCTTTTTCGTAGCAATACTTTGGCTTTTATTTTATTTGTTGTACAGGCTTCTTACGGCGTCGAAGATCCCGAGTTTGCCGTCACTCAATTGGCTCAAACGACCATGAGGTCGGAGGCAAGTGAGATTAATAGCTTGTTTAAAATATCCCAATCTTCATGTCTTCGTTATTTATTTCACTACTGTTTTATCTGTACTTCCTCTCTTTTATCATCCCATATCTAAATCTTCATATCTTATAGGTCGGTAAGATAAATCTGGATACGGTTTTTCGGGAGAGGGAACAGCTCAATGAAAATATTGTTGCGGCTATCAATAAGGCAGCTGAACCATGGGGAATTCGCTGCATGCGATATGAAATTCGTAGGTTACTGATCCATCTCGTTTTAGCTGTCAGCATGCCAAGTTTTACAATTTATAGGAGATATGCACATGCCCGCAAAAATACAAGAAGCCATGCAAATGCAGGTACACATCTTTTAAATTTCTATCTGCAAAAGAACTGTCTATTTTTGTGTGAGCCTTTCAAACTTTTGTCATTCGTTACTTAATATATCATTACAACCACTTATAGGTTGAAGCTGAACGAAAAAAGCGAGCTGCTATCTTGGAGTCCGAGGGAACCAGAGAGGCTGCAATAAATAAGGCAGAAGGAGAAAAAAGGGCCGCAGTACTTGCCTCAGAAGCTAAGGAAACAGAACAGGTGCTTGATCAGTAAACACATTTAGGTATCCGTTAGATACGCAGCCGTGTATTCTCAGGATGGAGAACTGTCAGGAGACTCGCTGCGCAGTAATTAATACCGCAAGAGATGCCTTCGCGCATCGTAATTCTCACCCCTAATCCAGCGACGCGCGAGCATTTCCTGTTGGGGTGTATGTCAAGAGGAAGATAGGTGCCAATATTGCGTGTGAACATGTGTTTGCACCATCTCACGCGGAAAATCCCGCCACCACGCAGCGTAACGGTTCGTGGCGGCTGAAGTACCATCCGCAGTCAGCCTTCGTTTACCTAACTAGTCCACGCCGTTTTCAAGATGAAATTCTATTTTTTACTTTTTTTTTGCACTTTTTCCCCGATTGACTTTAGTGATCTCTTCCTATCCCCTCACTAGCTTGAGGGTTCTTTTAAACTTGCGTTCTACTTGGCATTTTGCCATTGAAAGTTAAAGTCGCATGCGTATGATTAAATGGTTGTCATTTTGGCTATAACAGCTATCATTAGTCCAGTAGGTGCAAGGGTGGTGAATTCAGATCAATGTGATAAATG